GATCCACCTGCCTCAGCCTCCCGAAGTGCTTGGATGACAGGTGTGAGCCAACACACCTGGCCCTCTGTTAATCTTATGTGCTGTCCCAGTTGCTACAGACTGGTGTGTAACAAACCACCCCAAAGTCAATTGTGTAAAATAACCACCATTTCCATTTTCTCCTTTCTATGGGTCAGGAATCTGGAAAGAGCACAGTGTGTCTCTGCTCCACAATGTCTGGGGCCTCAGCTAGGAAGACCTGGGAGCAGGGGTAGCACCATGGCTAGAGGTGTGGAGGGATCCTCTCTCATTCCTCTGATGGTGGATGCTGGTCGTTGGCTGGGACCTCAGCTAGGGCTATGAGCTGGAAAAAGTACATGTGGCCTCATCACATGGCCTCAGGCCAGAGAAACATCTTGCTTGTTGGCCCAGGGCTGCAAAGGTAAATCTTGCCACTAAGGAGGCAGAAGCACACTCATGGCCTTTTAAAGCCCAGCCGTGAATGTTCCATGGCATGATTATAGCAGTACAAAATCAGTTCCAAGCAAGTCACAAGCCCCCAGACTCAAGGGGCGGATTAGACTCTGCCTTCTAGAAGGTTCTAGGAGAGCACATGGATCAGGAGACATTGATCTCACCATCTTCATAAATTATAGTCTGCTACACATGCTGACCCTGAAAAGGGAAATCTGTTATGTGGCAGAGTTGGGAACTGGCACTATTTGGGGATTTTCCTGAAGGTCTCATACAATAAAAATGGTGTATATGTAAGAAAACAGCTGGGCACGGGCACTGTGTTAGGTACCCTCTGTCCAGTGGTGAGAGAAGTCCAAAGTCTTGATCTCGTGTGCTTACAGAATATGTGTAATATTTAATGGTTTTTAAATTTTTTTTTTCTTTTTTTTTGAGACGGAGTTTCACTGTTGTTACCCAGACTGGAGTGCAATGGCACAATCTCGGGTCACCACAACCTCTGCCTTCTGGGTTCAAGCAATTCTCTTGCCTCAGCCTCCCGAGTAGCTGGGACTACAGGCACGCACCACCATGCCCAGCTAATTTTTGTATTTTTAGTAGAGACAGGGTTTCACCTTGTTGACCAGGATGTCTGGACCTCTTGACCTTGTGATCCACCCGCCTCCCAAAGTGCTGGGATTATAGGCGTGAGCCACCACACCCGGCCTGGTTTTTAAATTTTTATCTTCTCTTGAATAAATCTATGAAATGGAGACATAGTCTCACTATCACCCAGGCCTGGAGTGCAATGGTGTGATCTCTGCTCATTGCAACCTCTGCCTCCCAGGTTCAACTGAGTTTCCTGCGTCAGCCCCCGGAGTAGCTGGGATTACAGGTGTGCCACCATGCCCGGCTAATTTTTGCGTTTTTAGTGGAGATGGAGTTTCACCATGTTAGCCAGACTGGTCTCAAACTCCTGACCTCAAGTGATCCACCCACCTTGGCCTCCTAAAGTGCTGGGATTACAGGTGTGAGCTACCACACCTGGCCAAGATTGATTTTTGTATCAGCATTTTACAGTGCAGTTTTTTTTTTGAGACGGAGTTTCATTCTTGTTGCATAGGCTGGAGTGCAATGGTGTGATCTTGGCTCACTGCAACCTGGGAGGTACGATCCGCATCCCAGGTTCAAGCAATTCTCCTGCCTCAGCCTCCAGAATAGCTGGGATTACAGGCATGTGCCACTATGCCTGGCTAATTTTTGTATTTTTAGTAGAGACAGGGTTTCCCCATGCAGGCTGGTTTCAAACTCCTGACCTCAGGCAATCCACCCACCTCAGCTTCCTAAAGTGCTCGGATTTACAGGCGTGGGTCACCAAGACCAGTCTTACAGTCCAGTTTTAAGAAAAATAATTGTGATTGAACTGAATATTTATGGAACCCTCTTTAATGCAGATGAAAAGGATTAAAAAAAACCCACAAAGGTCTTTGTCTTATTTATGGTGAGGGCAGTGGATAAAACGTGAACTCAGAAACCAGGCTGTTCACGATCAAACCTGGGCTCTACCACTTGCCAGTAGTTTAGCCTCGGGCAGAGTTCTTCCACCTTTCTGTTTCCTCATGTAAAATGGGGCTAACAGCACCTACCTGTGAGGGCAGATGAGATATTAAATGAGTGCCTAGAGCGAGGACAGGTGCAAAGTGCTCGTTGTCACCGCAATATTGTCAGCGGGTATTCTTGGCCTTGTTTCACGCTGCAGTGCAACACTGACATCTAGTGGTCAGATTATATGGCTACTTCATCAAGTAAGAGTTTGAACCAAACATGAATATATCCTTTTTTCATTATTTATTTATTTATTTTTTTAGAGACAGGGTCTCACTCTGTCACCCAGGCTGGAATGCAGTGGTGTGATCATGGCTCACTGCAGCCTTGAACTGGGCTCAAGTGATCCTCCTGCCTTGTCCTCCCTAAGTGTTGAACTACCACAGGATTACAGGCTTGAACTACCACATCCAGCTCCATTTTCTGTAACAAATAACTCAGCCCTTGACCTTTTTCTCAGACTTTTTTTTTTTTTTTTTTGAGACAGCATCTTGCTCTGTCACCCAGGCTGGAGTGCAATGACATTATCTTAGCTCACTGCAACCTTCACCTCCTGGGTTCAAGCGATCCTCCCGCCTCAGCCTCCCAAGTGCTGGGATTACAAGCACGTGCCACCGTGTTCGGCTAATTTTTGTATTTTTTGGTAGAGATGGGGTTTCACCATCTTGGCCAGGCTGGTCTTGAACTCCTGACCTCAAGTGATATACCTGCCTCGGGCCTCCCAAAGTGCCGGGATTACAGGTGTGAGCCACTGCTCCTGGCCTCTCCAACTCTTAAGTGCCTCTGTATTGCATGCATGTCACTGGAATAATGTTCTTTAATCCTGGGAAGCAACAGGAACTGCCCAGGATGCATTGTTACTATTTCTTGACTTCTTATGTGAGGCAATTGTTTAAACCTCACACCTAGCCTGTGAGGTTGGAACTACTGTCCCCAATTGATAAATGAGGGACATGAGGCTTGGCCAGGTCTTGTGACTTGCTTGGGGTCACCATGCTCGAGGGAGGAAGTTGGGCTCTGCAGCCATGCTGTGCTCTTGAGTGGAGCGGCTCACTACCTAGTGCCTGGGCTTCTCTCCTGCCACGGGCCTGGGCTCACCCTGGACAGCCTGCCTGCCCAGCCCATTAGGAAAATCCATCAGAGGCCTGCCCTGCTTGGCCCCGGAGGACTGTCCAGGTAGACTGGGATGTCCTCAGGGAGTAGTGGAAAGAGGCGAGAAGTACCTGTCATTTCTAGATGCTACCCACTGAGCAGATGCAGAGGAAAGTCCTCAGAAGGCTGAACCTCCAAAAAGCTTTGATCTGGGTTTCAGCCCTTGGCAGTTTAGGGAACTTGAGGGATGTACCTGGAAAAGGAAGACAAGGAGTGGCTTTATGTGCTTCCCTTCCAGTCTTTTCTTTTTTTCAGATAGAGTCTTGCTCTGTCTCCAGGCTGGAGTGCAGTGGCATGATCTTGGCTCACTGCAACCTCTGCCTCCCAGGTTCAAGCAATTCTCCTGCCTCACCTCCCAAATAGCTGGGACTACAGGTGCGTGCCACCACGCCAAGCTAATTTTTGTATTTTTAGTAACGACAGGGTTTCACCATGTTGGCCAGGATGGTGTCAATCTCTTGACCTCGTGATCTGCCTGCTTCAGCCTCCCAAAGTGTTGGGATTACAGGTGTGAGCCTCCGTGCCTAGCCTTCCCTTCCATTCTAAAAGTAGTACCTACTGTGACAAATACAGAATACAGAAATATAGGCAATAAATTAAAAATAAAACAAAAACCTAGAAATACAGGCAGGGTGTGGTGGCTCACACCTGTAATCCCACCACTTTGGGAGGCTGAGATGGGACAATTGTTTGAGGCCAGGAGTTTGATATCAGCCTGGGTAACATAGTGAGAGCTGGTCTCTACAAAAAATAAAAATTAGCCGATGTGCTGATGCACACCTGCGGTCCCAGCTACTTGGGAGGCTGAAGTGGGAGGATCACCTGAGTCCGGGAAGTCGAGGCTGCAGTGAGCCTTGGTCGAGCCACAGCACTCCAGCCTAGGCAGCAGAGTGAGACCCTGCCTCTCAAAAAACTACAACAGGCTGGCCGTGGTGGCTCACGCATGTAATCCCAACACTTTGGAAGGCCGATGTGGGTCGAATTACAAGGTCAGGAGTTTGAGACCAGCCTGGCCAATATGGTGAAACCCCATCTCTACTTAAAAAATACAAATTAGTGGGTGTGGTGGTGCATGCCTGTAGTCTCAGCTACCCAGGAGGCTGAGGCAGGAGAATCTCTTGAACCGGGAGGCAGAGGTTGCAGTGAGCTGAGATCTTACCACTGCACTCCAGCCTGGGTGACAGAGTGAGACTGTCTCAAAACAAAAAACAAACAAACAAAAACTACAATAAAACAAACCAATATTGGGTCTGATGCTTTCACTTCATTGTTAACGTAAAGGAAAAGTAGTAACACTGGTGTCGGAACCATACTTCTCTGGCAATGAATGCCAACGAGGTGGTTCCTGTTTCACTCGCTGAATGAAGTCACGGGGCGTTCATTCACTGTAGTTTGACTTTGTGATGCTCTTGTTGGTGATAGAATGATAAAGCTAATGGTGGATTTTGCAAGATACACCTGAGGTACAGGTGCAGGGAGCTCTAGGGTGTACTGATGATAATGTATATTGCGTGATATGATCTGTAAATCGTGGGCTATGCATCCTTTACACTCGACTGGAACACGCTTTGCACTATGCACACACATGTTTCGCGGAGAGTGGTGTTGAGTGCTGTGCCAGGCGCTGAGTCAGGCTCTGGGGTGCAGCAGTGACCCTGGCGGTCAAGCCCCGCCTCGCCCCGCCAGCTCCACCTCCGCAGAGAAAGCGGAGCTGGGCGCTGGAGGTCGACCGAGGAGGCCCCTCCGCGGAGCGCCACCAGGGGGCGCGCGAGGCATGACGGAACTGCGTACTTTGTCCCCTCGCGCGGCCCGTCGCCCGCACCGCGGCGGGAAAATCCGACCCGGCAGCGTACCACCACTGCTCTCAGCCCTCGTGCGTTTGCCCAGCGTCAGCCCGCAGAGATGGAAGAGGAGGCGGAGGCCGAGGAGCAGCAACGATTTTCTTACCAACAGGTACAGGAAAACGGGGGCCCAGCTGGGCCGGAACGGCGCCGAGTTTCCGTAGAGAAAAGGACCCCAAGGCCCCAGGCGGCCTCTCATCGGGTGGTGCTGGGATGTAGTTTCCGCGGCAACGCGTGGGACCTAGGGCTGCGCCGGCCTGGGAGGAAGCAGTCCTAGGGGAGCGCGTGGGCTCCGGGGTGCGGCGGCGAGAGGCCACCTTCTGGCTTTGCGATGAAGCCTCGGTTTCTCCTTCTCAGATGGGGTTGTCATGAGAGTGGAACATTGGCATTGGAGACACTACAGGTGACGCCCGTAGCGCGGTGCGCCGGTCGGGTCGGAGCTCTGGAACGCTGGTCCTGGAGGCGTCGGCCCTTTATACAGTTAAGGGGCTGCGCCGCTGGGACTAGGTGACCAGGCTTAGATGCGGATTCGAACCTCAGCTTCGCCAACTCGTGATTGTACTGACTCGGCCCAAACGCAGTTTTTTTCCTCTGCAAAATCGTCGTAAGAATAACCACTTGGGCTGGGCGCGGTGGCTCAAGCCTGTAATCCCAGCACTTTGGGAGGCCGAGGCGGGTGGATCACGACGTCAAGAGATCGAGACCATCCTGGTCAACATGGTGAAACCCCGTCTCTACTAAAAATACAAAAAATTAGCTGGGCATGGTGGCACGTGCCTGTAATCCCAGCTACTCAGGAGGCTGAGGCAGGAGAATTGCCTGAACCCAGGAGGCGGAGGTTGCGGTGAGCCGAGATCGCGCCATTGCACTCCAGCCTGGGTAACAAGAGCGAAACTGTCTCAAAAAAAAAAAAAAAAGAATAACCACTTGCCAGGGTAGCTGCGGGCATCCCATTCGTTCCTTTCATAAGCGCCGGGCTTACAGAGCAGCAGAGGCTGAGAACGTTACAGTGCTGTGAAGAGGCGAAAAGCAGGACCCGGAATGGCGACCTTAAAGAGGACGGACTGAAGAAACTCAGGAATAAGCTCCAGACGCGGGAGTTTCCTCTCTACAGAGTTAAATTGCAGCAGCTGTCTACCCAGCCCCTTGTATTTTGAGAAGTTCAAACCTTCAGAAAACTTGCAAGAACATGGTACTGAACGGCTAGATGCCTGTAACCTCGATTCCACCACTAGTTAGCATTTTGCTCCCTTTCTTTTCCCTCATCGGAGAATTAATTGCAAATATTTTGACACTTTGCCTTTAAATTTTAATTCTTTAGTACACATCTCTCAAAAACAAGGCATTGGGGGCACAGTGGCTCATTCCTGTAATCCCAGCACTTGGCTGGGCATGGTGGTTCATGCCTGTAATCCCAGCACCTCAATTACTTGAGGTCAGGAGTTCAAGACCATACTAACCAACATGGTGAAACTCCCTCTCCTAAAAATACAAAAATTAGCCGGATGTGGTGCCTGTAATCCCAGCTACTCAGGAAGTTGAGGCAGGAGAATTGCTTGAACCTGGGAGGTGGAGCTTGCAGTGAGCCGAGATCACACCATTGCACTCCAGCCTGCAATGACAGAGCGAGACAAAACAACATCTTAAAAAACAAAGCCCAAGGCATTCTTCTACATTATCTCAATAAATTGTCCCACTCAGGAACTTAAATATTGATAAAACTATTGAATGTGCAGTCCATTGTCAAGTGCTCCCACTTGTCTAAAGATGTTTCTTTTCACTTTTTTCCTTCATCCAGGATTCAGTTAAGGATGAGACATTGCATTTGGTAATCTTGTCTCTTTGGTCCTCCCTACCCTCTTCTTTTTTTTGAAACGGAGTCTCCCTCTTGTTGCCCAGGCTGTAGTGCGGTGGTTTGATCTCAGCTCACTGCAGCCTCCGCCTCCCAGGTTCAGGAGATCCTCCTGCTCAGCCTGCCCAGTAGCTGGGATTACAGGCGCAAGCCACCATACCTGGCTAATTTTGTATGTTTAGTAGAGACGGGGTTTCACCATGTTGGCCAGGCTGGTTTTGAACTCCTGACCTCAAGTGATCTGCCCGCCTTGGCCTCCCAAAATGCTGGGATTACAGGTGTGAACCACTGTGCCTGGCCCGCTCTTTTCATTTTTGTGTAGAACAGAGCCTAGCTGTCAAAAGACAAATGCTTCCTGATGAAATGAAGCTGCACAGATGGGCTGAGAAATGTGCCCCTCAGCTGTGATGAGCATGTAGATTTCCCCCCATTCACGTAAACAACCATTCTTGGCAGTTGGTAGACAGTAGTGAACACAACTGACAGGGTGCTGCCCTTGAGAAGTTTAATGATTTAGCCTCTAAGTGCAGTGATGCCCCCAGCCCAGCCACAGGGAGGGGAGGAGGAGGAGGAGGAGGAAGGTCTGAGAAAACTTCCTGGAGCCAAGAGCATTCAGAAGAATTCATATCCTGTACCCTGACCCCCACCCATACCCAGAAAAGATTACCTTGAGCTGGGCAGGGTGGTATGGGCCTGTAGTCTCAGCTACTCCGGAGGCTGAGGCAGGAGGTTCACTTGAGCCCAGGAGTTTGAGGCTGCAGTGTGCAGTGATCACACCTGTAATCTTCATGCCTTCCAGGTTGATGATGGCTCTTTGGCTCTCCTCCTACCAGAGGCCTCACTTTACCTGGTCTTGTGAGGTCTGAAGTTCAGGAAAGCAGATGCCCTCCTCATCTGCCTGGCCTCTATCCAGGGGTCCTGGACTTGGGCTTTTTGCAGTTCCTCCTCCTCTGGCCTATGCATTGAACACTTGCTGGTAGATTTTCTTCCCTCGAGGGTTCAGCTGTCACCATGTGCAGCTCAGCTCTGTCTTCGGCACCGAGACAAGAGTACCCACAGGTGGGCTCAACAGAACTCCGTTGACACATGGCCAAGACTGTTGCTTAGCTTGTCTTACACTTGAGGCTCTTCCTCCCCTCTCGGCACTTTTCTGTAAGGGGCAGAGAGATCTTTTTCAGTACCAAAAAGGGTTGCCAAGGGACAGTGAGGGCCCTGTGGGGTTGGCCTCCCAACCCTCCAGATCGGGATGGGGCGAGTATGCCCTCTTGAGCCTTTCCTGTGTTGTTCTGTGCTTTTTGCCCAGAGCAAGACAATCTTGCTCTGTCGCCAGGCTGGAGTGCAGTGGCATGATCTCGGCTCACTGCAACCTCCACTTCCCAGGTTCAAATGATTCTCCTGCCTCAGCCTCCCAAGTAGCTGGGACTACAGGTGTGTGCCATCGTGTCCGGCTTTTTTGTGTGTGTTTTTAGTAGAGATGGGGTTTCACCATGTTGGTCAGGCTGGTCTCGAACTCCTGGCCTTGTGATCTACCCACCTTAAATTGCTGGGATTATAGGTGTGAGCTACCACACTCAGCCTGTCATGTACTTTTGTCCTCTGTGACATGCAGGCCTGGGGCTGCCAGGGGCTTATGGCAGAGGGATGGGACCTTCTGTATTTACTTGATTAACCACCGTAAGGGCAAAGTTCCCTGCCTGCTTTCTCACTGTTTTCCCAAACACCTAGCATATGCCTTTTTTTTTTTTTTTTTTGAGACAGAATTTCGCTCTTGTTACCCAGGCTGGAGTGCAATGGCGTGATCTCAGCTCACCGCAACCTCTGCCTCCTGGGTTCAGGCAATTCTCCTGCCTCAGCCTCCTGAGTAGCTGGGATTACAGGCACGCGCCACCATGCCCAGCTAATTTTTTGTATTTTTAATAGAGATGAGGGTTTCATCATGTTGACCAGGATGGTCTCGATCTTTTGACATCGTGATCCACCCGCCTCGGCCTCCCAAAGTGCTGGGATTACAGGCTTGAGCCACCGCACCTGGCCCTAGCATATGCCTTTACTCAGTCAGAGCTCCGTCTGCAGATAGTTTGGAATCAGTGAGTAAAACCACCTGGGGCCTTGGCAGGCCCCAGTCTGAGCTGTCTGTCTCCCTGCTGACTTGCCATCTAATTCCTTATCTTTACCTGCCCTAAATCATAACTGTTAACAAGGAGGTAACGTTTCTACAAGTCACACTCCAGTGGGTCTCATTAACTTATTAGTACACTTGAAAAGCCACTCAGCCATTATGGAAAGTGCCAGAGGAATTAGGCTTAGCAGACCCTCTCCTTTGTCTTAATTTTCTAAGGCTTGAAAAGCTCTTATTTGCACCCTCACCCATGAAATATTTCGATTTTTCCCGCAGAGGCTAAAGGCAGCAGTTCACTACACTGTGGGTTGTCTTTGCGAGGAAGTTGCCTTGGACAAAGAGATGCAGTTCAGCAAACAAACCATTGCGGCCATTTCGGAGCTGACTTTTCGACAGTGTGGTATGAAGCCTTGGCCTCCCTAGGCCTGTCTCTAATCCCCAAAGGTGGATTTCACCTGGGAGCAGTGCGTGGGTGGGAGCAGTGCGTGGTGGGTGGGAGCTGTGGCGAGTCTGACCAAGAACATTGTCATCATCACACATTCTTCATGAAACGCTTCTCTTCTTGGCTTTGAGACTTGTATATTTTATGGAAAGAAGTATTTTTTTTCCTATTATGCTAACACTGGGGCATTCATGCCTTTATTTTAGTGTGTTTTAAACAGCCCTGATGGCTGGAACATTAGACATTACATTTTTTGTTTCAGTGCTTTGTAACATTTTTATGTCACCCATAGTTGTTTTTGACAGCTGAGCTTGTAGCATCCGTATTTGCTTAACTTCAGAGGGGAAATGAATGACCTCAAAAGCCTTAACTGTAGCAGAAGTTAAAGGATAGTTTCTAGAAACCAAAGGCGTAGTCACAATCAATAGAAGGCTTGTAATGAAAGGTGGAGGGCTCTAGGAAGGACAGGGAGGTCATGTGAATCAAAAAGCTAAAAGCTCTTATGGAATGGCGGGGCTGCTGGAAGCGCCTCCTTTCACCTTTGAGACGGTTTGTTGTGTTAGTCACCATACTGGCTGTAGAAATCAAGGCATCGCTTTTCCTGCTTCTGAAGTATGATGGGATGGAACCTAAAGTGTGTATCTTTTTTCTCTTTCAGAAAATTTTGCCAAAGACCTTGAAATGTTTGCAAGGTGAGTAGAGAACCTGATTATCCGCTGCTGCGTCTCTGTAGTTCTCTGGAGCTCTCCCTCTGGTGGGGTACTTCAGGAGAGCTCTAGCTATTCAGTTTTCCGTGTGTTTTGTGGAGGCTGCTCCCTAATGATGGTTCTGCAAGAACACGATGCCTACTATTCAGACTTATTTGAGCATTTTTTGAAGTTTTCCAAGTATTTTTTGTTAACCCAGGTTATTCAGTTCTAAGTTAAAAAGGTGTGAATACTGTCTCCTGGACTCTGAATGGTGTGCCTGTGTGAAAAACCATGTCACTGGGTGGTTTGATTGCTCAGGGTCTGAGAACACAGTGCCTGGGGGTGGCCGCCCCTCCTGGAGGGAGCTGCAGCGGGTCTTGGAGGTAATTGCTTGCAGGTGCACACAGAATGGCAGGCACGGGCTTTCATTTGCCACATTTGTTCCAAGTGAGACGCACTCCTTGGAAAATGGGTGACTTGCTTTCAGCTGCTAAAGCCTCAGCTTTTGCAGGTGATTTATGCTCAGCTCTTCAATTAGTACCACAGGTAATTGAAAACAATTGCACTGAATTGCTTTTATGAAGCAATTTGAATGACGAAGGCCTGAAAGGGCGAAAGCTTTCTAATTTGCTGCCACTTGGATTTGGTGCCAGCCTCTCCCACACCCCTTACTTTTCACCTTGCTCCCATTAGCTCTTTGTTTCTCAGATGCATGTTCGGAATGAATTAAAGCAGTAGGTCCTCAGAGAGCAAGCTCTCATCTGTCCTATTCCTTTGGATAATTGTCCCTGAAAACTGCTTAGCATCTTCAGCTTGGCCAGAAGGGATAAGATCATCTGAAGGGATTCTAATAGCTCATGTGGCTTAGTCACTGTTGATTCAGGTGCTTGCCCTGGTGGGTGGCCCTCCTCTGCGGTAAAAGACGTTTATCACCTTTACTTGCTATTTCTTTGTTAGCTGTGGTGGGGGGGAGCAATGAAAATCTAAAATACTTAAAAACAATATATGTAAGAGACATTGGGTCTTGTTATGTTGCCCAGGCCGCTCTTCAACTCTTAGGGTCAAGCAATCCTCCTGCTTTGGGCTCCCAAAATGCTGAGATTACAGGTGTGAGCTACCATGCCCAGTCTGAAAATATTTCTTTAAAAATTCTGTAAAGAAAATGAAATTAGTGGTGGCTCACGCTTATAATCCCAGCACTTTGGGAGGCTGAGGCGGGTGGATCACAAGGTCAAGAGATCAAGACCATCCTGGTCAACATGGTGAAACCCTGTCTCTACTAAAATACAAAAATTAGCTGGGCATGGTGGCGCACACCGGTAATCCCAGCTACTTGGGAGGCTGAGGCCGGAGAATTGCTTGAACCCAGGAGGCAGAGGTTGCGGTGAGCTGAGATTGTGGCATTGCACTCCAGTTTAGGTAACAATAGCGAAACTCTGTCTCAAAAAAAAAAAAAAAAAAAAATTAAAAAAAAAAATGAAATTAGAAACAGCATAGTAACGGCTGGGCGTGGTGGCTCAAGCCTGTAATCCCAGCACTTTGGGAGGCCGAGACCATCCTCGTCAACATGGTGAAACCCTCATCTCTATTAAAAATACAAAAAATTAGCTGGGCATGGTGGCGCATGCCTGTAATCCCAGCTACTCAGGAGGCTGAGGCAGGAGAATTGCCTGAACCCAGGAGGCAGAGGTTGCGGTGAGCCGAGATCACACCATTGCACTCCAGCCTGGGTAACGAGAGCGAAACTCCAAAAAAAAAAGAAACAGCATAGTAACACATTAGGCTTTTAGATACTCTGTTTTTAAAAGTACATAAAAGGTTGCCTTTTTTTTTTTTTTGGAGATGGAGTCTTGCATTGCTGCCCAGGTTGGAGTGCAGTGGTGCAATCTTGGCTCACTGCAACCTCTGCCTCCCAGGTTCAAGCAATTCTCTTACCTCAGCCTCCCAAGTAGCTGGAATTACAGGTGCCCGCTGCCATACCCAGCTAATTTTTTGTATTTTTAGTAGAGACAGAGTTTTGCCATGTTTGTCAGGCTGTTCTTGAACTCCTGGCCTCAAGTGATCCACCTGCCTTGGCCTCTCAAAGTGTTGGGATTACAGGTGTGAGCCACCACTTCACTTCTGGCCCCCCCCCTTTTTTTTTTTTTTTTTTGAGACAGAGTCTCACTCTGTTGCCCAGGCTGGAGTGCAGTAGTGCAATCTTGGCTCACTGCAACCGTTACCTCCTGGGTTCAAGTGATTCTCTTGCCTCAGCCTCCCAAGTAGCTGGGATTACAGGCATGCACCACCACAGCTGGCTAATTTTAGTAGATGGGGTTTTGCCATGTTGGCCAGGTGGTCTCGAACTCCTGACCTCAAATGATCTGCCTGCCTTGGTCTCCCAAAGTGCTGGATTACAGGTGTGAGCCACTGCCTGGCAAAAGGTTGATTTTTTTTTTTTTTTTTTTTGGCTGGGTACTGGTGGGGAAAGTGGTGTGTGAAATGTGTGTGTGTGTGTGTGTGTGTGTGAGTGTGTGTGTGAGAGAGAGAGAGAGAGAGAGAGAGAGAGAATCTTAGACTCTAAGCTCCACAAGGAAGGACAACATCTTTTACATAAAAGAGTTTGTGGAGGTCAGGAGCGGTGGCTAACACCTGTAATCCTAGCACTTTGGAAGGCTGAGGCAGGCGATCACCTGAACTCAGGAGTTCGAGACCAGCTTGGGCAACCAGAAACTCTGTCTCTAGCCAGGCATGGTGGCTCAAGCCTGTAATCCCAGCACTTTGGGAGGCTGAGGCGGGTGGATCACGAGGTCAAGAGATCGAGACCATTCTGGTCAACATGGTGAAACCCCGTCTCTACTAAAAATACAAAAAAAAAAATTAGCTGGACATGGTGGCGCATGCCTGTAATCACAGCTACTCAGGAGGCTGAGGCAGGAGAATTGCCTGAACTCAGGAGGCGGAGGTTGCGGTGAGCCGAGATCACGCCGTTGCCCTCCAGCCTAGGTAACGAGCGAAACTCCGTCAGAAAGAAAGAAAAGAAAAGAAAAGAAAAAGAAATAAAGAAAAGAAAGAAAGAAAGACTCTGTCTCTACTAAAATACAAAAAAGAAATATTAGCCTGGCATGGTCCTGTGCACCTGTAGTCCCAGCTAGAGGTAGGAGAATTGCTTGAACCCAAGAGTTGGAGATTGCAGTGAGCTGTCACATCACTGCACTCCAGCCTGGGCAACAGAGTGAGACTATCTCTTTAAAAAAGAAAAAAAAAACGTTTGGAGAGGCTGACTGAGAACTGAGTGAGTGCAGAGTTCAGTGATGAGGCTCCAGGAGTCTGGGGTGCAGCCAGAGGCAGGGAAGCACCGCCTCTTCCTGGTACAACCCACAAGTACAGGTTTTCTTTGAAGACTCATCCTTTGTCTGAATTCCAGTTTGCTTTCATACAAGAAAGCATGGTTTTAAAGTTTATCTCTGAATAAAATTGATACTCCTGGAAGGTCAGCTTCAGTTATCTTGTGGATTTGAGTTGTCCCTGTTACACTTTCTCTACTCCCAAGACTATTATCACCCCAGTTTGAGAAAGATGTTCTGTTTTAAGTCAACTATGTATTAAGTAGTCTCTGTAGGCTGGCCTGGGAACCTAACCGGTATTTGTGACATTGTTTCATTGAGATAACTTTGTTTTATTTTTCTTGTTTCTTTTCTTTTTTGCTTGATACAAGGTCTCTCTGTTATGCTGGAGTGCAGTGGCTGGATCATAGCTCATTGCAACCTAGAGCTCCGGGGCTCTAGTGAGCCTCCCAGAGTTTTGGTATTACAGGCATGAGGTGAGCCACCATGCCTGGAATCTTTTTCTTTTTGGTGAGCTTGCTATGAGAAGTTTCTGTGAGACTACACATTCAAGTTATTATTATTATTATTGGAGTGGGAAGTAAACTTGAGAGCAGGGACAACCGATGGAGTCTTGCTCTGTCACCCAGGCTGGAGTGCCATGGCACGATCTCAGCTCACTGCAACCTCTGCCTCCTGGGTGCAAGTGATTCTCCTGCCTCAGCCTCCCAAGTAGCTTGGATTACAGGTGCCTGCCACCACACCCAGCTGATTTTTGTATTTTTAGTAGAGACAGGGTTTCACCGTGTTGGCCAGGCTGGTCTCGAACTCCTGACCTCAGGTGATCCACCCACCTCAGCCACCCAAAGTGCTGGGATTGCAGGCATAAGCCACCGTGCCTGGCCATTTTTTTTTTTTTTTTGAGACAGAGTCTTACACTGTCACCCAGGCTATAGTGCAGTGACACGATCTCAGCTCACTGCATTCTCCGCCTCCTGGATTCAAGCAATTCTCCTGTTTCAGCCTTACTAGTAGCTAGGACTACAGTTAGCGCCATCACGCCCAGCTAATTTTTTTTTTAAATTTTTTATTGCATTTTAGGTTTTGGGGTACATGTGCAGAACATGCAAGACAGTTGCATAGGCACACACATGGCAGTGTGTTTTGCTTCCTTTCTCCCCTTCACCCACATTTGGCATTTCTCCCCAGGCTATCCCTCCCCAGCTCCCCCCGCCCCGCTGGCCCTCCCCTTTTCCCCCCAATAGACCCCAGTGTTTAGTACTCCCCTCCTTGTGTCCATGTGTTCTCATTTTTTTTTTTTTGGTATTTTTAGTAGAGACAGGGTTTTACCATGTTGGCCAGGATGGTCTTGATCTCCTGACGTTGTGATCCACCTGCCTCAGCCTCCCCAGCCTTCCTTTTTTTTTTTTTTTTTTTTTTTGAGTCAGTCTTACTCTGTCACCCAGGCTGGAGTGCAGCAGCTCAGTCTCGGCTCACTGCAGCCTCTGCCTCCTGGGTTCAAGCGATTTTCCTGCCTTAGCTTCCCGAGTAGATGGGACTACAGACACATGCCACCACTCCTGCTAATTTTTGTATTTTTAGTAGAGACAGAGTTTCACCATGTTAGCTAGGCTGGTCTTGAACTGCTGACCTCAGGTGATCCGCCTGCCCCAGCCTCCCAAAGTGCTGGGATTACAGGTGTGATCCACCACACCTGGCCAGAGAATACACATTTAAACTCTCAATAATCAATTCACCTGCAGCCTTTGGAAAGCAGCTGCTAATCTGAGTTGTGAATTTCTTTTTGCAGTGGGGTGATCTCAGCTCATTGCAGCCTCTATCTCCCAGGTTCAAGCTATTCTCCTGCCTCAGCCTCCCGAGTAGCTGGGATTACAGGCACCTGACACTGTGCCTGGCTAATTTTTGTATTTATTTTTTTATTTTATTTTTTTTTATAACATGTTCTTTTAGCTCACAAAAGTTTCTCATTATCCACAATTTTTGTATTTTTAATGGAGACATGGTTTCCCTGTTTCAACCAGGTTGGTCTCAAACTCCCGACCTCAAATGATCTGCCCACCTCAGCCTCCCAAAGTGCTGGGATTATAGGAATGAGCCACTTCACCTGGCCTGAGTTGTGAATTTCTTTCTTTAGCTTTGAAATCTCTAGTCTCTTAGTGTTGTTAACAATCAAACATTTTGAAGAAGATACATATATATGTATATATATATATGTATATATATATTTGAGATGGAGTTTTGCTGTTGTTACCCAGACTGGAGTGCAATGGCACGATCTTGGCTCACCGCATCCTCCGCCTTCTGGGTTCAAGCAATTCTTCGGCCTCAGCCTCCCGAGTAGCTGGGACTACAGGCGTGCACCAACGTGCCCAGCTAATTTTTGTATTTTTAGTAGAGACAGGGTTTCACCATGTTGACCAGGATGGTCTCGATCTCTTGACCTACTGGTGCTGGGATTATAGGCGTGAGCTACCGTGTCCGGCAGAAGATACATATTTTATAGGAAATAAATTCTGGGAACATTTGGGAATTATCTTTAAAGCCTATGTTACAAAGCGTATTATGTGAAAAATTGCTTTTTATTTTCCCTAGCTAGAGTAATTTTCTGGAGTTGGAGGTTTGACTTAGGAGAGTCTGTGATACGCAGTGGCTGGCAGAGGATGCTCGGCCCCTCCATTGAGGGCCTTAGTGCAGAGATAGCTGAGGCCACACTGAAGTGGTGAAGAGGGCTGAGAACATTGTTTACTAAACACTTTCTTGTAACAGATAAGTTCACTCTGTAAACAGTTCATTATGCCTCTTCCCTTTACATATTCCTGTTACTGTACTTTAAGAAGAATGTAAATACAGACAGAGCAACCTGGTTATGAGGTTGAGACTGGGCCACACTGTCCATGGCCACACAGTCCATGGGACTGCTCTGGGCAGTCCACCCAGAACATCTGTGGACTGCCCTCATTCTTTGTGGCTTCTGTTTCTCACCTGTGTTCCTTGCAGTTTGCTAATTAGAAAGGTATCTCTTGAAGTGGGTATTATCTTATGACAAGCAGATATTGTCAGTCATGATGAGATGACACGTGATATTGTATATCAGTATCATATGCAGAATGTGAAGGATTAATTTGGCCAAATTATGGAGCATCATTTCTGTGTGGATTTATCTTTTACCTCTGCAGTTGTTGAGTGGGGACTCACCATGTGTGCTGGCCACTTTGCTAGATATTAAGGATGCAAAGATTCCTATTTATTCCTGCTTGCAAAGTACCTGTGTATTTTGTGGGTAGGTTAGAAATGGCAAGAAAACATGTAATTGGAGTAATATATTGAATAGAGCTTATTGTCTTGAATTATCTTTCCCAGCAAAGATAAAAGGACTAGAATGAGAATTGGAGTCCAACTTGTGAGCAAGAAGCAGACTCCAGTTTAAAGGATGTTCTTTGTTCTATCTGGGTTATTGGGGAGGGAACCCGTTAATTACTTGTTGGGAATGGGACATTAGGAGGCATCTGCATAATGCTTTTTCCTATAAGTTAGCCCTTGGAGAAAGGCAGGATCTTGATGGAAGTAAAGCCATGCTTTGTGGAGATTCTCTTTGTTCTTCTGTTTCCTGTCTGTTTAAGCAGGTGCTCTCTGTATTGAGACTGATTTTCTCTGCCCTACAGTTGTCCAGTGGCCTTAGCTGTGACCAAGCAAGCCACATTTGGAAGGGCTCTAAGCCCTCAGCCCTCCTGTCTGCGTTTTTACTCTTTGGGTACCCTTGGCCCTAAGCGGAGGTGGAGAGATGGGCCTCCGCTTTCTCCATCTCTTTACTTAATTGGGGTCTCAGGAACTTCACTAATTTTTGTGTCACTTTTGCTTAATGTCCTTTATCTAAAAGGATGGGCTACTTAGAGATTCCTGCTAGTTTGAAGTCTGACCATGAACTTCTGTGTTTCATCAAAACTTTAAATAATACCAAACATTTTGGTGAGTTGTTTCTGCCCTTTCTGCAGACATGCAAGAAGAACCACAATTAACACTGAAGATGTGAAGCTCTTAGCCAGGAGGAGTAATTCACTGGTGAGAGATGAATTTCTTTCCTCACTCCCCTTTCCCATCAGAATACATTATTCCCAATTAATCACTTGAAGCCATGAAGTTATTCCCCAGGGCACCTTGCATTAAAAACTAGAGATGGTTGAACCATTCAGACCTGCCTGTAATTTACAGTCTGGCTTTCATTATGATGGATTTTGCTAAGCCAATTTGAAATTTTCTAATCAGCATTCTCTGGGTTTTATAATTTGCCTTTTCTGTAATACCGCAAAACTTTGGTCCCATGTTTCATTTACAACATGATGTCAGAGACTGTTCACAGGGAAGAGCCTATAAGGATATTTTGTTACTGTGTTCACAATTCTCTGAATGGGCCAGGCATGGAAGGACTTTCTGTGTGGCTGGATATGCAGGAAAAAGCACGTTTTCCATCTTTTCAAGTCCAGAAATCATTTTGACTAAGCCCCTGTCGTTCAGGTGAAGGCTCGGAAATGCACTGGTCATCCAGGCTAGTGCTCTGGCTGATGGCAGAGCCAGGCCTGGGACATTTCCTGACTGAGTCTCATGCTAGACGCTAAAGCACTGGGGGGCCCTCGTGTAATGTGGGCATCCTGAGGGTAGGGGCTTTTGTCTCTTTGTTCTCTGCTCCATCTGTGTTGCCTAGAGCAGTCCTGGCACACAGGAGGGGCTCAAGAATTGTTGAATGAACGAATTTGTATAGCAGTTTACAGGAACTTTTCCAGATACTATTTAATGCTCACAGCTTTTTTCTTTTTTAAATTTTTATTTTAGACATGCAGTCTCTCTATGTTACCCAGGGTTTTCTTGAACTCCTGGGCTCAAGCAGACCTCCCAGCTTGGTTTCCTAAAGTGCTAGGATTACAGGTGTGTGCCATGACTTTTTTTTTTTTTGAGACGGGGGTCTCACTCTGTCACCCAGGCTGAGTGCAGTGGCGCAGTCATTGCTCACTGCAGTCCTGGTCTCCTGGGCTCCAGTGATCCTCCCACCTGAGCCTCTCAAGTAGCTGGGACTACAGGTGCATACCACCACTCCCAGCTATTTTTTGTGTTTTTTTGTAGAGACAGAGTTTTACCATATTGCCTGGGCTGGTCTCAAACTCTTGGGCTCAAATGATCTGCCTGCCTTGGACTCCCAAAGAGCTGGGATTACAGGTCTGAGCCACTGCCCTCTGCCACAACTTTTAATAATAACACAACTTACTGGCTGGGTACAATGGTTCACGCCAGTAACCCAGAACTTTGGGAGGCCAAGGCAGGAGGATTGTTGAAGCCCGGAAGTTTGAGACCAGCATGGCCACATAATGAGACCCCCATATCTACAAAAAACTTTAAAAAAAGAAAAAAAGGCCGGGCGCGGTGGCTCAAGCCTGTAATCCCAGCACTTTGGGAGGCCGAGGCAGGTGGATCACGAGGTCAAGAGATCGAGACTATCCTGCTCAACAAGGTGAAACCCTGTCTCTACTAAAAATACAAAAAATTAGCTGGGCATGGTGGCGTGTGCCTGTAATCCCAGCTACTCAGGAGGCTGAGCAGGAGAATTGCCTGAACCCAGGAGGCGGAGGTTGCGGTGAGCCGAGATCGCGCCATTGCACTCCAGCCTGGGTAACAAGAGCGAAACTCTGTCTCATAAAAAAAAAAGAAAAGAAAAAAAATTGAAGCTGTATTTAATTTTAAGAAGTATAACCCAGGCGTTTCTGTCCAAATTCTTTGAGTCAACGGTGGTTGTGGAGGGTTTAATTTTGTTTGGTTTTTTAGGTTTGTAATAGGATTACAACCAATTACAAATACAGATTTTTTTGTGTGTGTGTAGCTAAAATACATCACAGACAAAAGTGAAGAGATTGCTCAGATTAACGTAGAGCGAAAGGCACGGAAGAAAAAGAAGTCAGAGGATGGAAACCACAATTCAAGAGAGCTGGCCGAGGCTGGAGTAGTGGAGAGTGAGAAGTAAAGTGTCCTGCCGCTTGGAAAATGCAGCCTTCCACAGGGACAGCGACGTGGAAATGCATATGGCTGCAAAGGGAACTTTGAAGGGATAAGTAGTGATTACAAAGAAAAAAAAGGCTAAGGTGGCTTTTTGTGCTGAATTCTCCACATTGTTAACTGCAAAAGCTAGTTTAAGAGGACAGGAAAGTCATAAGCAAAATACTCCTGAGTCTCATTCCAGCACATAAAAATGGTGTGTAGTCGAATGTGTATATTGGAAATTATATATCTTGCAATTAAAATTGTGTGAGTAATTAAACATGGTTGACTTTTTCAAGCAAAAATCAGTTATTCATCTTTTGATGTGATTTTCTAGGCTAAATGACAATCTCTGAAAGATGAATAAAACTGAATTTATTTAGCTTTTCTGGTTACTGATTTTTTTTTTGAGACGAAGTTTCGCTCTTGTTACCCAGGCTGGAGTGCAATGGAGCAATCTCTGCTCACCGTAACCTCCGCCTCCTGGGTTCAGGCAATTCTCCTGCCTCAGCCTCCTGAGTAGCTGGGATTACAGGCATGCGCCACCGTGCCCAGCTAATTTTTTGTATTTTTAGTAGAAACGGGGTTTAACCATGTTGGTCAGATTGGTCTCGAACTCTTGACTTTGTGGAATGCCCACCTTGGCCTCCCAAAGTGCTGAGATTACAGGTGTGAGCCGCCGCGCCCAGCCACTGGTGGTGGTTTTAAAAACATGCCGCCTGTGGTCACCAGGTTAAAGGGTGTATGTTTGGGAATGGCCCGTTTCACTTTTTTTTTTTTCTTTTTTGAGACGGAGTCTCGCCCTGTCCCCCAGGTTGGAATGTGGTGACTTGATCTTGGCTCACAACAACCTCCACTTCCCGGGTTCTAGTGATTCTCCTGCCTCAGCCTTCCAAGTAGCTGGGACTACAGGTGCACACACCGCACCTGGCGAATTTTTGTATTTTTACTAGAGACAGGGTTTCACCATGTTGGTCAGGCTGGTCTCGAACTCCTGACTTTGTGATCCACACACCTCGGCCTCCCCAAGTACTGGGATTACCGGTGTGAGCCACTGCACTTGTTCCCCTTTTCACTTTTTAAAGGTGATTTTCTTTAGAAACAGTTTCTGTTACTTTTTAAAATATATTTTATTGCATTTTAGGTTCTGGGGTACATGTGAAGAACATGCAGGATTGTTGCATAGGTACATACATGGCGATGTGGTTTGCTGCCTTCCTCCCCATCACCTGTATCTGGCATTTCTCCCCATGTTATTCCTCCCCAACTCCCCAACCCCTAGTGTCCCTCCCCTAGTTTCCCCCAACAGACCTCAGTGTGTGATGCTCCCCTCCCTGTGTCCATGTGTTCTCATTGTTCATCACCCACTTATGAGTGAGAATATGTGGTATTTCATTTTCTGTTCTTGTGTCAGTTTTCTGAGAATGATGGTTTCCAGGTTCATCCATGTCCCTACCAAGGGCACAAACTCATCGTTTTTTTATGGCTGCTAGTATTCCATGGTGTATATGTGCCATATTTTCCCTGTCCAGTCTATCATTGTTGGGCATTTGGGTTGGTTCCAGGTCTTTGCTATTGTAAACTGTGCTGCAATGAACATTCATGTGCATGTGTCCTTATAGTAGAACTATTTATAATCCTTTGGATATATGCCCAGTAATGGGATTGCTGGGTCAAATGGAATTTGTTTCTAGGTCCTTGAAGAATCACCACACTGTCTTTCCACCATGGTTGAACTAATTTACACTCTCACCAACAGTGTAAAAGTGTTCCTGTTTCTCCACATCCTCTCCAGCATCTGTTGTTTCTGGATTTTTTAATTATTGCCATTCTAACTGGCATGAGGTGGTATCTCAATGTAGTTTTGATTTGCATTTCTCTAATGACCAGTGATGATGAGCATTTTTTCATATATTTGTTGGCCTCATATATGTCTTCTTTTGAAAAGTGTCTGTTCATATCCTTCTCCCACTTTTGAATGGGTTTCTTTGTTTTTTTTTTTTTATCTTGTAAATCTGTTTCAGTTCTTTGTAGATTCTGGATATTAGTCCTTGGTTAGATGGGTAGATTGCAAAAATTTTTTCCCATTCTCTTGATTGCCAGTTCATTCTAATTAGATTGTTTCCTTTGCTGTGCAGAAGCTCTGGAGTTTAATTAGATCCCATTTGTCTATTTTGGCTTCTCTTGCCAATGCTTTTGGTGTTTTAGTCATGGAGTCCTTGCCTATGCCTATGTCCTGAACGGTTTTGCCTAGGTTTTCTTCTAGGGTTTTTATGGTGTTAGGTCTTATGTTTAAGTCTTTAATCCATCTGGAGTTAATTTGTCAGGAAGGGGTCCAGTTCATTCTTAATTTTTTGAGACAGAGTCTTGCTCTGTCTCCCAGGCTGGAGTGCAGTGGTGTGATCTTGGCACATTGCAACCTCTGCCTCCTGGGTTGAAGTGATTCTCCTGCCTCAGCCTCCTGAGTAGCTGGGACTACAGGTGTGTACCACCACGCCCGGCTAATTTTTGTATTTTTAGTAGAGATGGGATTTCACCATCTTAGCCAGGCTGGACTTGAACTCCTGACCTCAAGTAATCCTCCTGCCTCAGCCCCCAAAGTGCTGGGATTACAGACGTGAGCCACTGTATCTGGCTGGCCGTGACTTTTCTCTATTTTGTAACGGAGCTATGGTTCTGCTCAGGGAAGTTTTGCTTGAGGGGAAAATCTGGGACTGCTAGATCAGAAGACTTCAGCATGACATCCTGTTTTAGTTTGTGAGAGAAAACGCTCCCAAGGGTGCCAGTCTTACTGTCTTCTGATGCCCTTGGGTTTCTTAGAGGTCCAGGCCTGCGTTTCCCTTTACCCTGTGGCAATACGGTGAAGAGAACAGGCAGGCATTTGTGGAGCCCTTTCTGTGTGCCAGGCACACACTGGGTACTCCACCTATTACCTCACTGATCTCCACAACTTTGTTAGTGTAGGTCTGATTCTCCACCTTCTCCTGATGAGCAAATGGAAGTTTGATGAGGCTAACCAGCTGCCCAGGGTCACCAGGCTATAGTTAGGAGACAGTGTTCAGATTCGGGGCCGTTCACTATAGAACGGGTGAGAGAAAAGGGCATGCATTTGGGGTAGAATTTATACCATCTGTACCCAAATCTGATGAGCACACCCCACAGCCTGACTCTGAAAGGGAGGTGCTAAGCTATGGCTGTAGTGGAGCACTGAGTTCACACCTCGTGGTTTCGGGTCTGCAGGTGGCTCAGCACTTGTCCTCATGTTAATGATAATCTGTGTGTCATATCAGTGAACGAACAGTGAGTCATAAAGCCGTCCATCTTGTGTTCAGCCAAAGACCCATATGTTAGGAGTTTCATTTTCAGATAAGCTCTCTTTAAACTCCTTATTGGCCATGTGCAGTGGGTAGTGCCTGTAGTCCCAGCTACATGGAAGGCTGAGGCAGGAGATTCACTCGAGCCTGGGAGTTTGAGACCAGCCTGGGCTGCACAGTGAGACCCCCGTCTCAAAACAAAACAAAACAAAAAAAAGGTTAGGCATGCAAATGCATGCCTATAGTCCCAGCTAGCTACACAGGAGGCTGAGGCAGGGGATTGCTTGATCCCAGGGGTTCTAGGCTTTAGTGCGCTATGACTGTGCTACTGCACTGCAGCCTGGCGGACAGAACAAGATCCCAACGCTAAAACAAAATTTAAAACTCATCAAGAACAGTTTAGGGAACATACTACAGACTTTCCAAAGGTGGAAAGATGGGGGTTTTCATCTTGGGTTTCCAACTCCAGTAGCTATATGTTTCAGAGATGTTATGCTCTTTTTTATTTTAAATTGAGACAGGATCTCATTCTGTTGGCCAGCTGGAATGTAGTGGCATGATCATGGCTCACTGCAGCCTCAGTCTCCCAGGCTCAAGTGATCCTCCTGCCTCAGCCTCCTAAGTAGCTGGGACTGCAGGCATGCGCTACCATGCCCGGCTAATTTTTTAGGTTTTTTTATAGAGATGGGATCTCAGCATTTTTCCCAGGCTGGTTTCAAACTTCTGGGTTCGACTCAAGTGATCCTCCTGCCTCAATCTCCCAAAGTGCTGAGATTATAGGTGTGAGTCACTGCACCTGGCTTTTTTTTTCTTTTCTTTTTTGAGAAGGGCTCTTGCTCTGTCATGCAGTACCGTGGTATATCGCAGCTCACTGCGGCCATGAATTCCTGAACTCAAGCAATCCTCCTGCCTCAGCCTCCCAAGTGCCCGAGACTACAGATGTATATTACCACACATGGCTAAGTTTTCTTTTGTTTTTGAGACAAGGTCTCATCCTGTCACCCATGCGGGAGTGCAGTGGCTCAATCTTGACTCACTGCAGCCTCTACCTTCCATGCTCAGATGATCCTCCTACCTTAGCTCCCCAAGTAGCTGGGGCCACAGGTGTGTACCACCACCTCCAGCTAATTTTTTTTTTTTTTTTTTTGGTAGAGGTGGGTTTTGCCATGTTGCCCAGGCTGGTCTCGAACTCCTGGGCTTAAGGGATCCTCCTGCCTCAGCCTCCCAAAGTGCTGGGATTATAGGCATGAGTCACTGCACTGGCCTTTTTTGTTTTTGGAGATGTGCTCTTACTCTGTCACCCATACAGTGGCATGATCACAGCTCACTGCAGCCATGAATTCCTGGGCTCAAGCAGTCCTTCTGCCTCAGCCTCCCAAGAGCCCGAGACTACAAGTGTGTGTTGCTACACCTGGCTAGGTTTTCTTTTCTTTCTTTTTTTTCATAAGGTCTCACTCTGTCACCCATGCTGGACTGCAGTGGCGCTATCTTGGCTGACTGCAGCCTTGACCTCCCATGCTCCAGGATCCTCCTACCTTAGCCCACCCCGCCAAGTAGCTGGGACCACAGGTGTGCACCACCACGTCCAGCTAATTTTTGTAGAGATGAGGTTTGCCATGTTTCCCAGGCTGGTCTTGAACTCTTGGGCTCAAGTGATCCTCCTGCCTCAGCCTCCTAAGTAGCCAGGACTACAGGTGTGCATTGCCATGCCTGGCTAAATTAAAAAATTTTTTTTTAGAGATGGGGTCTTACTATGTTGTCCAGTCTGGTCTTGAACTCCTGGGCTTAGGTGATCCTCCCATCTCCACCTCCCAAAGTTTGCTACCTTTTTGAAACCGTCTTTTATTTTATTTTTATTTTTTTTAATTTTTTTGAGTCAGAGTTTTGCTCTTATTGCCCAGGCTAGAGTGCAATGCTGTGATCTCAGCTCACTGCAACCTCTGCCTCTCGGATTCAAGTGATTCTCTTGCCTCACCCTGCTGAGTAGCTGGGATTATAGGCTTGTGCTACCACGCCTGGCTAATTTTGGTTTTTTTCGTTTTGTTTTGTTTCTTGTGTTTTTTTTTGA